GGACCTGTGTCGGGAGGAGCCTGTCCATATCAATGTTGGTACTCTCACTCTGAAGGCTGCCACAAGTAGTTCGCTGTCTCGAAGGGCCAGGCGAAAGACTTTCGATTTGTCTTAGTGTTACGCAGTATGTGGATGTGGTACAAGAGTACGAGAAGAGGGACAGACTGAAGCAACTCCTTGAGAGGGTTATGGATGGCTCTAAGCTGCTCATTTTTACTGATACTAAAAGAGGAGCTGATGACCTCACGAGGACGCTGAGGTGAGTTTGCATAGGAGTATTTTTGATGTTATGTATGGTTTTCAGGATGGACGGTTGGCCAGCCCTGTGCATTCATGGTGACAAGAAGCAAGAGGAAAGAGATTGGGTACGTTGCTGTTGATGGTATTGGCTTGTATGTGGTGTTGTAGGTACTTCATGAGTTCAAGTCGGGTAAGAGCCCTATTATGATTGCTACTGATGTAGCTAGTCGTGGATTGGACGTTAAAGACATACGCCATGTTGTCAACTATGACTTCCCGGGTCAGATCGAAGACTATGTGCATAGGATAGGTGAGTGTAGAATGACTGTTGTGGTTGGAATTGTCATTTACAATGGTGACAGGCCGTACGGGAAGAGCGGGGTGTAAGGGGAATGCTTATACGTTCTTCACTGCTGATAAGATTAAGATGGCCAGAGGCCTAGTTCAAATCCTACGCGAGGCGAATCAAACGGTAAGTTGTCGAACACTTTTGTTTTTCTATAGCATTTCCGGGTGATCTAACTAGGGATGTGCGCAAGTTTTCTGTAGCGTGTGTTTGCAGGTATCGCCCGAACTGGAACGCCTGTCAATGACGGTTGGAGGCTTCGGTGGTGGAGGCGGCGGCGGCGGCGGTCGTTGGGGAGGAGGTGATAGTAGTTTGTTGAGGACCTCCAATTTTGTGGAGTCTCCGTTAATTTCGGTCATGTCAACTCCTCAGTTATCGTCGCTACTAGGACGTTGGTAAAATAAAATTTTCGAGAAGTGGCCACTGCGTTCGGCAGTCTACGTGAGTTCTTGGGGTCCTTGTCATGACTCTTCTGGCATGGTGTAATTTGACTTACATGAATGT